TACAAATATGACATCGTACTATACCTTGTGAGAGATATGGAGATGGATTTTACACAAAGCCGAATATCCAGGTTACTAGGGGGGAATCAAGAGGTTTGAGAAGGCTAACTGTTATAAGAGAGGTAGTAATTAAAGTGTGAGACAGTGAAGGAAAGGTTATTTCTTGCTGGAGGTATCTCTGAAGGTGTCTTGGAAGACTGTGATTTGCAGAGGGCTGTGAAGATTGATTGGTGCATAGGATGTTATACAGAGAATGTTTATGACTTTCCAAATCAGAATTTTATAAAATCTCTTCCTTGCCTCAGTAATCTAATAAGTAGTTAATCCCTAGAGAAATTATCCAAATGAGTTACAGAAATCTTCATCTGCCCAGCCATCATGTTATGGGATTAATCTCTTTTGGTATTGAAAACTATACTTGGCACAGATTTTTTAGTATTGACACAAACTTTAATTAATGTCAAAAATGTTTAAGAAAATCATTAAGTTTTAAATGGCTAACTTATTTGCCCAATCTTGAGTCATAATTATTGACAATATAATGATATTAAAATACCCATTTCTAGAGAAGCAATTTATCCAGAATCCACATAAAAAGAAACCAGATTCTCATCTTTATCAATAAGTTCTCAAGTGTGGGATTCATCTGTGAGATGATGAAATGATCAGAAATAGGCTTACTTCATTTATCTTTCATAACCATGGAATTGTTTTCGAGCCATCTTATTCTTTCCTAGCCAGGTACAGTAACAGAAAAGACCCAGAGCAGGGCTGTATGCCAAAACACAGCCAAAAAGAACCTTTAAAATGCAGAAATAAATGTTCAAGCAAAAAGTTAAAATAGGGAGAGCAAAATACAACTAAGAAGAGCACACACTTGATCTAATCTTTTATTAGAAGTTGGGTCTGCATCTCCCTCTGATGTAGATACTGGATTTGTGATTCCCTCTGTGCACTGCCATCAGCAAAACATCATCTACAGTGAACTGCTTGTAAGCAAATTTTAATAAGCAAAGGATATGCTGCCTTCATCAGGAGACATTCAGTGGAAATGGTATTCCTCCTCAATGAAGCCTGCTGCGTTCTCCCCATTCCTTATTACACTTGGCTTGGAGAGGTTAAGGACTTGTCTTACAAGCCTTGTACATGAATTTTAACTCCGGATAGTATCACCAGACCCAAACCTGAGAGGTAAGAGCCAGGAGGGAAGAGGAAAAAGTATCCAAATTTAAAAAGGAAAAAGTACTATGGAAGGGGTCAGCGTCCAAAGTTGAAGATAAAAGGGAAGAATTAGCTTTAAGGGAAAAAGACATGTATTTTGTAGAGGCAAAATGGGTTGGGGAACATCCCCAAACTGTACCGTGAGTTCCCGCCCAGTGGCTGGTGGAGAAGAGATGATGAAAGGAAAATGAACAGGCAAGACTCAAAGAGAAAGTTTTTAAAGAGCTGGATCAGGGGTCTGTCCACCTTCAAATGTGAGGACCATCTATCAGCCCCTTGCTCCAGACTAGCTCCGTTTTTATTATACACATTAAAGGGGGGGCGCTGTACCCTACATCATGGTTCTTGCTGTGCTTGCATTTTCTAACCAAACGATTTCCTTAACTACCTTAATTGCATCAATTTACTCCTTCTTTTCTCACTCTATGTTACTTTTGATCCAAACACAAACAAACTCTGGAATAGGAACACAGTCCAGGTGCAGGACGTCCAGCCCAACCCCAATTAGACTGTGCACACAACCCCCAAGGTGAGCAAATAAGCCCCCGGGAAGCCTTGTGGGCAGTTGGGTGCGGTGTCATACTGAGAAATGGAAGGAAAGGGGCATTTTCCGCTCACCTCCCTGACAGACTTTTTCCTCTCCTATGAGATCAAAATCAGCACATTTTACCTTCTCTTGTTAATCTCCCCAACTCCCTTGCTCACGCCCTCTGAGAGCAATCCTACCTGCAGGAGCTTGGTCTCCCAGTGCCCAGAAACCCTGGGGCCAAGTCTCTCTGGGGGAGGGGTGAAACACCAGCAAAACACTCCATTTGTTTAAAAGGGCCAGACTTGGCACTGTGGCTCTTACAACAGACTCGGAATTTCTCAGCATAGGTGCTGGAGTCCGAGGCATCCCTGCCTTTCTCCCATCCATCCCCCACTGTCTCTGTTCCCTTTGCCCATCACCTGCAATCATTTTCTTAATTCAATTTCTAATCTACTTAAAATAAACAATTGAATATTGGGTTTAAGCTTATTAAATTATTATTTCTAGCAATGCAAGTGCATCAAGATATGAGTCCCCTCTCAAGGGCCCGTATTTCCACCCTGAAAAATGAAAAGAAGTGAGATTGAATGCTGACGCCAACATGTTATTCAGGTAAGAATGAGCAGGAAATTTTAGCAAGTCCCACCTGGCAGTCCCTATTTTCTCTGTGAAATAGAGATAAGGATGCCTCAGCGGGAAGGTAAAAAAGGTAGAAGAAACGGGGCAGGACCTGCTTGCAGCAGTCGGTGTGGAAACTAAGAGAGGGAAATCACTGGGGTCACGTCAGATCACCACGTGCCATTTAAGAGTCCATCAAGTTGAACAGCATGATGTGTGAAACTGTGTGATGATCTAGGATGGAGCGATTTCTTCCCCAGACAAAGTGTCCATCTGAGATGAAAACATGGGAGACCAAGAGAATGCATTCTGGAATCATACTGCTCTGGTTTCCAATTTCTGCTCTTAACGTTTTATGATCTTGGGCAAGTTATTTAACATGCATGGACTCCATTTTCCCTGTGCATACGGTGGAATGAGAGCACTGCAGTACCACAGGGTGATGTGAGGATTAAATGAGGACTGCATATAAACAATTTAAAGACGGGTTTGGCACCTGGTAGATACTAAATAATAAAAGACAGTGTAATAGGGGAGGAATGTCCACTAACACACATTTACATTTCTGAGTATTAAATGGATGTAGTAACAGAACAGTAAAGAATGAGGGTTAAAATACTCTCAGATGAAAGTGGATTAGTATAATCGATTTGGGATTAGAGAAATTAGGCCCCACAGGCAAGATAAGAGTAATAGTTCTTCAAGCAACAAGGCCACAGAGGGCACCAGAGGTCTGGCAGTGGTAACTGAGTAAAGTACAGGATTACTGGGGAACTATGTCTCTGACAGTACTAAAAAGAGATGCCTAGTTCATTTTCCTCTTAATCTTATAATGTGTATTAGCATATTTTCACCACTTCTTAGAAATTATCTTGTGCCACTTAAACTAAAATTATAAACTCTGGTTAGGCCAGAACATGTATAATATATTCTGATGCAAGTGCTATAGTCCTACTACAAACATAATAACTACCTGCTGAAAAACTAAGAGGCATATCATAAAATCTTTTGATCAGTTTCCAGTTTGAGGAACCTGAAAAATCTCATTTTACACATTAAATGAAAGCCTTGGGGAACAGCTGACTTCATTCTGCCAGTTAATTTCAAGTAAAGGCATAAATACAGTTTAAAAAAACCCACTTTCCTTTTTAAAGAGCTTTTTATTTGTAAAATATGAATACACAAGTAAAAATTACATCTCATCATTCGAATTTTATATAAAGCAAGAAATGAAAAATTCAATTTCCTCACTCCTAAGCCTCTTCTCATTGAACTCTGTTAGTTCTTCCTTTCAAAGTAAAACTAATTCTATCTCTCCTTCTCTCTCTCTGTCTGTCTCTCTCTCCCTCAATGTATCTTTTATCAATAATTGCATCTATCTTCTCTATTTTTATTAAGTTAGTTTTTTAAAAAAAAAATCATTCTTTGCATTAGGGGTTGGCAAACCACCACTTGCAGGAAAAATTTAGCTTTTATAAGCAAAGAATTATTGAAAAAGTTATCCTCATTTACATAATCTATCGCTGTTTTCATGATGAAATGAGAGAGTTGAGTAGTTTCAGCTAACCATAAGTCTGCAAACACTCTGGCCCTTTACAGAAAACGTTTACCCAGGTCTACTTTACTTATCTGTTTCTTAATGCTTTTGTTTGTTTGTTTGTTTGATCCTGTGCATGTGTGTCTCTCGAGGTCAATATAGAGGTATACCACATTTATTTAAATTATTTCAGATTATTCTTTGAATTTATAAATGTCAATTTATCACTAGTAGAAATTTAGATCTTTTTTAGATTTAAAGATATACTAAAGTCACTTGTATCAAGTACATATTAACACTTGCCAGAGAATGGTATATATCGTTTAGAATGTTACAAGAAAGAAACAGCTTTCTATAACATACAGATTTTATGTTTCATGAATATTCTAAATCATTATAAAATGAAAGGTAAAGAAACCATGAGAAAAATTCAAATGAGTAAAAATAATATTATGGAAATGACTGTTAAAGAGCCAAAAGAAAGTTAATAATGACCCTTAGATATGGTATTATGCTATAGTAAACTAAAATTAGTGATTACTGGTTTTCTGCTCAATAGAACCCACCCGTGCCTTTAATCTTATGAATAGAAACATATTCCGCATCCCAGGGATCCTTGCTGCTAAGGATGGCCTGTAACACTTCTAAGTAATTATGGGAAGACATACAGTCATGACAAGTACAGGTCAATAGCCATCTGATAACTCTGATGTGGAAAGCATTATTTTAAAGTTTTACATTTTGAGATATGATAGAGTGAAAATCAAAAATGTCCTGATGGTGTCATTGATCCAGTAATACAACCCTTCAACTGACTTCTCCCTAACTGTTTGTGGTATGGGGCAATTAAGTTCCTACCTTGTTATCCTGCAAAAGAACTTTATGTTATTGGGACTGGATATAATCCTAAAAAACAACCAGCAATCTATAATGTGCTATAGTAAGTTCCATTTAATATACAGGGTGTTCCAAACAAGTCCCTAAAGTTGCCGTACATGGGGAAAATGGGAAATTGGAGCTAAATGTATCTTTATTTAGAAAATATTCATTACAAAATTTTGCCAAATATTTACAAAATATTCTCAATGTGTTGTCCATTTCTTTGCCAATAAAGGTACATTCAGCTCCGGTTTTCCATTTTTCCTATGTATGGAGACTTTAGGGGGTGATCTTTGAGACACCCTGTGAAATTAACTTTCTATATGAGCATGTTATTTTTTTTTTCCCCTAACGAATGTAGAAACCTTGAACACAGGAAGTTTTTATAAAGTAGGTATGCAATACGTACCCACAGCTTTAAATACTATTTATATTTCACTACTTCCAAAATTTCTATTTCTAAACCAACATTATCTACTCAGATCAAGCCTTATATAACCAACAGATTTTGTGATTTGGATGTCTGACACAAATTTCAAATTTAACACATCCCCAACTGAATACTTAATCTTACCTGCCAAATCTTTCTTTTCCTTTCGTCTTCAAAATCTCCATCCATTCTGTTACTCATGCAGAAACTTAGGTCACTTCCTCTTCACACCTATCTTTACCAAAATTCAATATGCCACCAAAGTGTCTGAACCTACTTTCAAGCCTTCGGCACTGTCATGATGACGGGATATGTAAAGGATGACGGGAGACGTGCCATCTGCAGTTCCCAAATGAAACACTCCACTTTTCCTTTCTAGTTCACTCCAACAGATTCTCTAGACAGCAGTAATCTTTTAAAGATACAATTCAAATGTTACTAACTACCCAAGTTACTTATTTTCAAAAGCTAGTATAAAAAGAAAAATGTTGCCTAAAATCATCCCACATGACCAGCTCCTCCTAATCTCTTGAACCTCATCTGGTGTTATTTTCCTGTTTGTTCATCATGTTCAAGGCACCAGTTGTTTGAGTCCTAAAACACTTTCAGGTCTTTTCTGCCCATGAGAGTCTGCATACTGCTCCACTTCATGTAATATCTCCCCAGATGACTATTGTCTTGTCTTTAGGTCCCAGTTTTAACATTGCTTCCTTCCTTGTTTAATCCCTCCCTGATGTTCAACCTAAGTTAACCGTTCCTTCCCATCTTGTACTACTTATGCAGCTAGTCCCTTTGATAGTTCATAGCACCTTTTCCTGAATTGCACTTTAGTACAAGGGTGGGGGCCACCGCCGTGTGCTTCACCCTGTGCTAGTATACTCAGTTCTTAGGTTAGTATATGACGTGTAGCAGGTGCTCCATAAAAATATATAAACAATAGAAGAATGCATGGAGGAGTGAATTTGCTGAAATACATCACTCATGGCCACATTAAGGGATTTCAGACCCAACAAGCCACAGTAAATAATATCAAGATGTTACCATAGAATACTACAGGATCTGGATCCTTAAAAATCAGTGGAAATATGGGATTCAATGCTAGATTCTGCCCACCCCTCTTTTTCTTTCTTACAGAAAACACTTACACAATAGTCACCACTCAAGGGCCACACTGGAAATTTAGAAATCTCCCCCAGTTACTGTGTCAACTATATCCTATAATCACGTGTTGTTATATTCATGAAAATAATAATCATGTGGAATGGGGTTAAGGACATGACTGAATAATTGTAGACACGGTTCTAAAATTTGCTTCCAAATAACTTATGTGAAACATTCAAACACACTTACATTAACCGAAATCGAAATCCTACAGTCAACATGAAAATCACCCCGTGGTCTCCGAGTGCACAGGAATGGTCCATCCTCTAATACAGAAAGTGTAAAAAGTGACTAAAGAAACAACACAGTCCAGGATTGGAGGTTAGTTATCACTACCAATGTCAGTTTTGGCAGAATGAATTTTATTATGTGTTTGTTCTAATTTCTGAACAAAACAAAGGTCTTCCTTTGTGTGGTTTACACGCACATATAGAAAGTATGCCTTCAACTTAGGGTTTATTGTAAATTTATTGAATGTTATTGATGAACATCAAACTTCATGTGATCTAGGTAAACTGTTTTCTAAATTGACTCATTTATCCACTTCAGCATTTTGTGCCGTGTTATAAATCTTCATTTTTTCCCTCGTTTTTTACTGATTTTTACCTTAATCAAAAGAAATAGATTCACTTTTTCTTTATAGGGAATATCTACCTCATTTATATGTGTCACTTATTTGGAATAACAATTTCCAAATATTATAATAATCTTTTTGTGTTAGTAAAATGAATTCATATTTCATTTACATCAGATATAGCCTACCAAAAATCTAGGCTTGAATTTCTTCTCTTATTAATCCAACAGAGATATGGATATCTTCCATTATAAACAAAGAATGACTCTAATGACGTTGTTGTAAAGAACATGCACAATAAAATGAACAACCCAAAAGAAATGTGAATAAACCATCTAGATGAACTAGGCTAAAAAGTATTGGCAACCATATTTCTAAACTGATTATTAAACCATAATATGCATGAAGAGACTTAGAATTAATGTCACTACATTTTTATCAGTAGTTTTTATTTTGGATAATAACTGTGAAAGATTTTATTTAACCCTTATATATTTATTTTATTTTATTTTTTTATGGAGACAGAATCTCACTTTATTACCCTTGGTCGAGTGCTGTGATGTCACAGCTCATAGCAACCTCCAACTCCTGGGCTTAGACGATTCTTTTGCCTCAGCCTCCCATAACCCTTATATTTTTTAGGTTTACAAAAATCAATACAGGCTTGATATAAGGAACTTAAAATATAGAGGTACAACATGAAATTGAATGTTCTCTATAATTTCAGTCTCCTCAGCTAGGCACAATTTAAAGTATTCAAAGTATTTCATTATAGAACACCTTAAATGTTCAATCCTTTCTTTATGGTTATCCAAAATAATTTTATTGAAAAAACTGCAAAAACAAATGCCTGCCAATTTCTCAAAGTGTGTGGCATCTACTATTCCGGCTCTCTGCTAAAACTTGTAATCAATCATAGCAGATTTTCACATATGAGTCACTTTTCCTGAATTTCTTCATGAACTCTTCAGTATTCTAACAGAAAGTTTTATAGTCCTTGGAGTAAGCTTTCGCACAGTCAGCCCAAAATGCACGCTTGGCCTAGGATTGTTCACCAAGTCTACAGGGGACTTTAAATCTGCAATTTTTCTATTTTTTTTTTTTTTTTTTTAGGATAAATGCCTATTTTTATCTTCTTCCCCTTACTGGAGAAAATATGTGTTAAAAAATTATTAGTGTGTCATTTTAATTCTCTACCCTGGTCTATATCTATAGTATGTGTAATCTAAAATTCACATAAATACATATATAAATAAGTCAAGTATAAATACAAATAAGTATTTGTATGACAAAAATTAAAATACATTAATTATATGTAATTTGCATATCTATACTAGATGTATGTTTATATGTGTCTATTTTAGATATATCTCTTAAGCTATATTCATGTTTACATATAAATGTACAATACATATATAAATATATTTATACTTTTTTTACTTATTTTCTGAGTATTTCCTCCAGAAAATTACGATATTCATGATAGTTTATTGCAAAATTCTTTGGATTAATACTGACTTAAAGCCAGAAAACACAGAAACTTTGCTCTCCTGTAGATTAATAGCCTCTCCCATCCTTTGTTCTATTCCTGTCACATATGTTGCTTCTACATAGATCAGACAAGAAATTTTTATTATTGTTTTATGCAAATGTCTTTTATATCAATGAAAAGAAGAAATACATTTATGTATATGTAGAGAGAATTTTGTGTTTCTTAAGCAATATGTGCAGTACTGGTAATCCTTCGTGAAACTCTTTTTATATGTAAGTTCTTTTCATCTTGAATGACTGCCTTTAGTATTTCTTATAAGACACGTTGGATAGCAACAAGTCCTCTTATCATGATTTTAAATCTGATAATGTTTTTGCTTTCATTTTGCAGGATCATTTTGCTGTATGTAGAAGTTTTGTTGTTTTTTCTTTAAGTATTTGGAATATGGCACACCACGGCTCGCTGGCCTCCAGAGTTTCTGATGTGAAGACCACTCTTAATTGTAGCCTTGTTGCTCTTTACATAATGAGTCATTTTTCCCTTGTTGCTTTCAAGGTTTTCTCATTGTGTGTGGCCTGAGTAGTTTCCCTGTGATTTGTCTATGTGTGGTTACCTTTGTTTTATCCTACTAGATTTTGTGGTGCTTGTTATGGATGTAGATTAATACTTCTAATCAAATTTCAGAGCATTACAGCACGATTTCCTCGTATATGTTTTATTCCCCCTATTTGCTTTTCCTCCTCTTCCAGGAGTGCCTTCACAGGTGCGTGACCACAATTCGTGGGGCCCACGCTCTCTTCATGCTTATTCTTTTTCTTCGTTCTTTTTTCTTTTCAGTTTCATATTGGATAATGTCTATGGCTCTACCTTCAAGTTCTCTGATTCTTTCTTTTGTAGTCTAAAATATCCTCCCTAACCCCTCCAGTGAATTTTCCATTTCCTTTATTGTTCCCTGAAATAACAGAGTTTCCCTTCAAGTGTATTTTTCATCCTGCTTTTTAAAAATGTTTCTTCTAGTTTTTTCTTATGTTTAAAATAGCCGACTTACAGTCTTCGTTTGCTAAGTCTAACATCTGGGGGGGTCCAACAAACAGTTCTATCATTGAAGAACTTTTATTCCTTGGTATGCTGTGTAGATGATGAGCCAATGCAAGTATTTATGCAAGAAATAGCATGGAGCTAGATAGAGATGGAGATATAGGTATAGATTAGATAAAGATATAGTAGAGAGTATGGCAACAATGTTCAGTCAGAATGTAGTTGATATAGGCTAGTAGGTAAGGGGGATGGTCATGAAAGAGGAAACGTAGGAGACAGGAAGTCCTACGGAGTATTTCCTTTCTTCTTTACTGTTTTACAGTTTTAAGGCCATGATGGTAGTTAAGGTAGAAATTATTCTTCTAATAACATATAATTTAACAAATATATTCTGCTTTTATTTACAAAGGTGGTCATATTTGATATCAAAACCTGTGTGTACCTGGATTTGCACATTTATATATATGTAAGTATAAGTGTGAGTGCTAACATAAACATGTATGTGTACACAGAGTGGTGTGTACACGTGGGTATCTTGGTATCTTTCTAAATAGTTATGTGTTTGTGTGTGTGTGTATGTCTTGATGTACCTAAATCCGTTTCAACTCCTCCTAAATTTTCATGAATTTAAATCCTTTTATCTCTGACTGAACACAAATATCTTTATAAAAGTAAATAGAAGATCTCAAGCTTTTCTATTTCTTCTTATTTCATGCTAAATCGTACCTCAATTTCTTACCCACTAACCCCTTCATTATTTTGACATAAAGTAGATTACAAATGTTCTTGCTAATTTGCTTTTTAATTTTTTTTTTCATTTTTTGAGACAAAGTCTCACTTTTTCATGCTTGGTAGAGTGCCATCAATTCACAGGTCACATAATCTCAAACTCTTGGGCACAAGCCATTCTCTTACCTTAGCCTCTTGAGTATTTGGGATTACTCCAGGCACTTGCCACAACACCCATCTATTTTTTGTTTGCTTTAGAGACAAGGTCTCTGGCTCAGGCTGGTCTTGAACTCATGAACTCAGGCAATCCATCCACTGCCTTGGCCTCTTGAATGCTAGGATTATTGGCATGAGCCACTAAGCCTGGCCTAATTTGTCTTTTTAAATGAATAAAATATAATCAAAAATCCTGTGTAGGAACAAAAAAGAAAGAAAGAAAGTGAGATAGTATTTTACAGAATATTATCCTGCGTATCTTATAAAGAATTTAATTTCTGGCAAACAAAAAGGTAGCTTTTCTTTTTAGTTTAAGTCTGTATTATCCTTGATGACAATCAGCAGTTTCTTTCTTCCTACTTTCCTCCCTTTCTTCTTCTTTTCCTTTCCTCTTTTTCTTTCTTTCTTCCTCTTTTTAATTTTAAAATAAATTACTAAGTCCTATTCTTATAGAAATTAAATGTTATCTATAAATCCAACCCTGGTAAATTTTAGGTAGTCAAGGGGCAAAGTTTAGAGAGTTTCACTAAACTTCAGCTATAATTGCCATGTCATTATTTAAGGTTTCTCATCTCAAGATTCAAACAGAATAATAAAGGTTTTGGGACCCTAGAAAGATGATTGACCTTGTCAGTCTCAAAACCATTAACTGCTGCTGTAAAATAAGAGCATCAAGGTGTATGCTTTCTTCTGAAAAGATTCACTGAGAGACAGTTTTGTGTTTGTAGCAACTATGGCCTCAAAGAGAACAGGAGCATTTACCTAAGAACTCAAGCGTGAAGCTCTGATTATTCCCAGAGAACTATAAACCTAGTACAGCAGTAATTACAGTTTTTGGTTTGTTTATGTTCAATAAAACTTTCGTGAGATATAAAAATCCTCTTTTTTTTTTCTTTTTAAAGTTGGGGGGTCTTGCTAGGCTGACCAGACTGGCCTTGAACTCTCAGGATCCACCTCTCAAGTAATTGAGATGACAAGTGCAGCATGCTTATCTCAAAAATTTTCTATTTTTATTCTTTTGAAAACACTTTATTGAGGTATGATTGACAGACAAAAACTGCACATATTTAACGTACACACTTGATAAGTTTGGAGATATATATACACTCAGAAATGTTATCATAATCTATGCCATAAACATATCCATCACCTCCAAAGTTTCTGTCTGCTTTCTTTATTTATCACTTTTATTTTTTTATGATCGCACTTAACATCTGCCTTCTTAGGAAATTTGTAAGTATATAATACAGTACTGTCAACTACAGGCACTAACACTGTTCAGTAGATCTCTAGAACTTGTTTATCTTGCCTAACTGAAACTTCGTGCCCTTTAGCTAATACCTCCCAAGTCTCCTCTCCTTAAATACATTTCCACTAGTGTTGTTATTATAAAACACACATTTTTCTCAGTTGTATTGTTCCATGTTATGATCATAACAAAATACAATCAATATTCCTACTGAAAATAATGTAAACTTTTTCTAAGAGTTTTTTTCTTACAAATAATGCTACTATTTCAATTCTAGTACGGATATCTTGCAAGTAGGCAAGACATTCTCTAGAGTTTTAGAAGTCATAGCATGTGGATACATGCATTTATATAAATAACACTATATCGTTTTTCCAAAGAGATTGTTTTAATCACTCTTCCACATTAGTATAGAATAGTTGCTATCTTGACCAACATCTGGTATAATTAACTGATTGAATTTTTAATGGAATTTTTGTTGAATTAATTTACTTTCCATTTTATCTATTTGTGCTTGTAATTTGCATTTTCTTGATTACTAATGCGATTGATCCTGTCATCTGGATGTGTTTAGTGTATTGTTTATCATTCCCAAATTATCTTGTTTACAACTTTCACTTTTAAGGTTATCTTTATTATTCAGATACTTCTAATTTATATTATAGAAGTTAATCTATTGGTTTATAATTTCAATGTTTTTGCCCATTTTGTGACTTTTCCTTATTTTTTGGTTGCATTTTATAATGAAATAATGAAAAATGCATTATTTCACTTTGCAAGCATTTCTTTTGCATTTTGCAGAACTTTTCTACATTGTGATTATGCAAAGTTATCCCTTATGCTCTCTTAAAAGTCTTAAGGCCCTCTTACATTTTGACCTTTACTCTACCTGTAACTGATGTTTGATTAAAGCATGAGCTGGGAATCCTGATGCATTTTTTCCCCTAATTGAATAGTAAGTTATGTAAGGCCTCTTTGGGCCTATTTTTTTTTTTTTTTAACTATGAATGGCTTATGACTGTTCCTTTCAGGGTTTTATCCTTTTTAAAAATAAAATTTTAAGTAGTTGAGATAATAGTACATCATATATGTTGTTATAAATACCATTTTTCATAATCATATAACATAACATTGTCTGTATGCTTTTACAAAGTCTTTAAAAAATTAATTTTAATTGCTTCAAAAAAGTACATCATGAAGATATTACAAAATGGCATAACCTTCATTTTAGCCCAGTTGGAATTTGAGATGGTCTTAGTTTTTGCTCTTTTTATTGCACATACATAGGGTGTACCACATGGTATTCGGATGCATATGTGTAGGTGGTGAAATGATTACTACAGTCAAATGAATTAACATACCCATCTCTTTGCAGTTACTTTTCTTTTTAGAGGTGAGACTGTCCAATATCTACTTTCCTGAAAAAATTGGGTACACAATACAGCACTATTAGCTATGAACATTGTATCATTAATGTTATTCTAAACCCTTGTACATTACTGGTATGAATACAAATTAGGTTAGGAATTATAAAAAACATTATAGAAGTTTCATAAAATTTTAAAAATAGAACTACTTATCTAGCAAATTTTTTTTGGTACATGCCTAAAGAAAGTGAAATCAGTATCTCAAAAAGATATGTGTGCTCTCAAGTTCATTGTGACACTAATCACCATAGTTAAGATATGGAAACAACTTAAGTATCTAACAAAGGATGCACGCAGAACAAACGTCCTCACTGCGGAGAGGTCCATTGTGAATATTAAGGCAATGACCCTTTGTTCTTTCCTCCTTAGCTCTGCTATATTTCATAATAAAATTTACTTTCTTTAATTTTTAGAGAACAATACACATACATGTTTTTAGCATAACATGGCAATTGAGCCAAGAAAATAAATGAGATAATTCAAAGTGTCATAATTTAAAAATGTTAGAGTAATAATTTTTATTAATGTACTGAATATGGAAAGGTTCCCCCCAAAAGATACAACCTGAATCATTTGCCATGTTGTCATATGTGTACGTATATATGGGTTTTTGTTTACGGTTCCCATCTCAAAACTCTCATGGTCCTTGTGGTCACATTGGAGCACTTTGGGCTTCAGGCCTTAGGAGATGGAATCTCTTCTCGGCCCTTGTTAATCCTACTTTCAAAAGCCCAAGGTAGAACTCTAAGCGGATTGTGGGTTAAAATTATCTCCCAATCTCCATTAAATTAAAAGCAGATAGACTTTCAAAGTACCTTATAATATGGACAGCAATGATCTTTTCCAATTTCTTAGTTATTTGCTTGTTCAAACCTTTCTTACACCTAAAGTAAGTACACCTTTCTATTTTGGCCTAGAAAAAAAAAATACCACCTAATCCTTACAGTGACATTCCTGAAGTTCATAACTGTGGAATGCATTATCATCTTCTAGATATCTATGCCTCACCTGCCATTTCAACTACTCTCTCATATTTATCAGTTAGATCTGTCCCCCAAATAAATTAAACCAAGTGCAGAATTAAATTTCCTATATTTATCTGTTTTATTTATTTATTTACACTTTATACACATACTTCCATTTATTTACCTTTATTATCTCTCTCTGTGTGTTTCTTGCAGGGATGTTAAACTTTTGTCTTCTCTGGGCCAGACTGGAAGAAGAGTTGTCTCAGATCACACATTAAATACACAATACTAATGAAAGCTATTCTGGCCCCGTATACTGGGTATGGTGGGTTCAAGCCCAGCCCCAGCCAAAAACTGCTAAAAAAAAAGAAAAAAGAAAGAAAGAAAGCTGATGAGCAAAGAGAAAAACATGAACCTTTGCATAATTTTCATGTTATCTGCCATCACATATAAGTGAAAATAGTCCCCACAGAATAATCTTAATTATACAGTGGCCTCTTCAGAAAGTCTTTTAAAATTGTTGAGCAGGTCCTAAGTTTGTGGCCACTAACACAGAAAATGTACATGCATAAGTAAAAAAAATCTTATTTGAATGTATTTTATGATAAAGTAAAAGAAAAATGGACAATATAAAACTAGTGGGATATTTGACATTGTATTTGAGAAACTAATGTGGCCCACAGGGCATAGGTACCATTCCCCTAGGTCTCTAGGTGCTAAAATGCTGTCTATGAATCTACATGTCCATATCTGTGTCTATCTCTGTGTATACACACACACACATGCAGAATATTTAAAGGTAAATTTTTGCTGTTCAGTTAGTACTTTTAGACTACTAATTATAATCCATAAAATTAAAAAAAAAAAGAGAAACATCAGAGCTAAGAAGGACATGAAAAATCATCTGCTCTAGGGGAGTTTAGGAATAGGAATTGTGGAATTAAAATATGCACTACTGGCTCGGCACCTGTGGCTCAAGTGGCTAAGGTGCCAGCCACATACACCTAAGGTAGCGGGTTCGAATCCAGCCCGGGCCTGCCAAAAACCAATGACGGCTGCAACCAAAAAAAAAAAAAAAAAAAAAAAAAAACATAGCCAGGCGTTGTGGCAGGCGCTTGTGGTCCCAGCTACTTGGGAGGCGGAGGCAGGAGACTCGCTTGAGCCCAGGAGTTGGAGGTTGTTGTGAGCTGTGATGCCACGGCACTCTACCCAGGGTTACAGCTTGAGGCTCTGTCTCAAAAAAAAAAAAAATAATATGCACTACTGTGGACCTAGTCACAGAGGTTTTAATTCAGTAGGTTTGTGGGGCCGCTTCAGCAGGTTTATTTAATTCCTACAGTGATGCTGA